TTAAGTTACAGAGTTTCTTGAGTAGGCTTCATTAAAACTATGGAGCTTTTTTATTTAAAATTTTTGAATCAGGTGCTGAATTTCATGATGCCTTAGCCTTACTTGTATAGTATGTTCGTAGAAAGTGTTGTTCATCTGCTTATTTTTGAGTCTCACTCAGTTATATATGGTTGCTAATTTTTGAGATAAGCTGTTCTTCTATGTTGATTATTAGGAGGTGCAGACAAGCTAGTTTAATCAGAATGTACATAAAGCAGGTACAATTTTTAGTTCCTTTTACCTATTAATTCCTTGTATCCTCTACTCGTGAATTCATTCCTATCTATTAAGAATTAACATCTGCATGTGGGATTATACTGCAGATCTCCATTCTAGGTTTTGCGAACCATAAAGGTGTTGTTTTTCGAGACCTTAGCCGAAAAGCTAACTACATCGGTAATGATATTCATTCTGCTTTTTTTACCGGTGTATTTATTCATAGCTATTATTCTTACATAATAAAGATGTGTAATATATCATTACTCCTTATGAGGAAGGACTATTAGAAGATTTACACCCAATATTTTTCCTGCCTATTATAACATAGAAAATGGTTCTACTGCATTCGGTACAGATGCTGATATGGAGTCACTTTTATCCCGTGGTATGTCTATCTCAACATGCTAATAATCTTATCTTATAATAATAATAATAATAATAATAATAATAATAATAATAATAATAATAATAATAATAATCTGTTATCACTCTTTTACTTTTTTCTGTGAGGACTAATCAACATCTCAACCTACTTATTTTACTTCCACAGCAATATGCTTTGTATTAAGCGACAACAAGACACAGAACACAGACGTCAATGTATGTTGTTTAGTTATGTCTTTATCGCCTATCAAGTAGTCATATTTGCAGGTTGATGATGTATTAACTGCCACTTTTTATGTGAAGACTGCTCAGGAAGGAACTGTTGAGATTGTATTTGATAACTCCGATCATATCATTCCGGTAATCTTCATCATCTCTTAAACAACGCACTCTTTCTTTGTATGCATATAACATTTTGTGTGTTTTTTTCTATATTATAATTAACCGTAGTGTAGCAATGAAGTTGCTCACGGAGTTGATATTGCATACATATTTGAGTAAATGAAAGGAGGAAGAAACAAACAAAGGAGGAGCATCTTACATAATTTCATAATTACGGGAAGTAAACACAATTAAACAATGCCAAAATTCAATCAAGTTTGATAAGGATAAACACTCATATGTTTGTGGATAACTGTTGTTATTACTAAAAATAGAAGTTTATAGAATTTGTGTAGTTTCTATGTTGCATTTTTTGGTTGCTGAAACTCTTTTCTACCACTTGAAGGTTGATAAAGAGGAGGTAGTTTTGCGTAGAACAAGCAATGAATATTATCTGGATGAGAAGCGTATAATGTGAGTACCACTACCTACCATTCGGATTATTTGTTTCCTTCTACCCTTCATGTTGCCCTTATTGAATTCTCTGGTTTATCTTGTCAAGTGTTATAACAATTAATAAACAAGGTAATGCAACAATGCAGGGAAAATGAATTAATGAATCTACTGGGAGCTGCTAGACTCAGTTTATATTGTTTTATGCTGCCGAACCCGGTATTAGATATTTTCTTTCTGATTTTGATGTGTGTGGTGTCAAAGTGTTCTTAATTAATAACCATGCGATTGTTTGTAGATAGCATCGTTGATTGATATGGACGATGTAGAAAGACTTAATCTACTTAAGAAATTTATTGGGGCTCAAATCTATGAAGAGCACCATGCCGAAATCCATAACAAAATGGCAAATATAGGCAAGTCATTCTTAACTCTTAAGTTGGTTGTTTGTTGCATTTGACCAGATGGTTTTCTTAAATGTTTTGTAAAATCAGGTACAATGATAAACATGCTGCGTGGAAATGTCGAAGAGTTTGAAAGCCACAAGGAAAACTTTATGCAAATCACCATCAACCACATTGAGGTAAATAAGAGATTTTATCGGAGTATAAGGATTCACATCTGTGTTGCATAGCATGCTAAGAATTTGTATAATCATGTCATGATGCCTAATGCACTCATGTCTCACTTGATGCGTGCAGGTGGAGAAGCAGGTAAAGGCCACTGAAAGTCTATTAGCAGCTAAGCAGAATATTGTAGAGACTATACGAGCCAGCTTGCGGGATAATGAAGTCTATGTCAAACAAACTGTAGAGACTTATACAAGACATTTTTATGACAAGACTTTGAAACAGAAGCAGCAAGATGTCGATAACCAGGTATAGTAACTACATAAACTCATTACATAGATACTGACATTTCCTTGCAATCCGAGACCTATGGAGGTCCGAAAAAGCTGATCTACCTTTTAACATAATTAAAAATTCATGCTGTAGGAGCTTGAGTCTGTGAAAGCACAAGATCAGGCTATAGAGATGTATGTGAATGGGGAAGTCAGTGAACTTGAGAAAGAATTGGAAGAACTAGAGCATTTATTGCAGGAAGAAGAGAATTGTAGAGCTGAAATCACGAAACTTGAGAAAGATACCAGGGAGGCAACAGATAGCTTATATGATGGTACTCCTAAGGTATGTTAGTACGTACATTAGCATATCAAATTTTTTCAGGCAAATTGTGGAGAATAGCTTATATGTGTATGTGCACATCTTTTGATGATGAAAAAGCAAAATCTTTGAGAGCCCCGTAGATCTTGCAATTAAGTGGTTTGATTAGTTAATTTATTCTTGTGGTGATATGAATATGATATAATGTAACAGGGAATACGGGAAGGAGTGGAGGGTGTTGAAAGAATATGCAAAGAGTCCAACATTAGTGGGCTTATTGGTCCTATCTACAAGTTAATTGACTGCGAAGAAAAATATTTTACTGCTGTTGAAGTGATTGCTGGGAAAAGGTTTGTTTGTACAAAGTCTTTGGATGCTTTTTTTTTTTTATTTTTTTTTATTTTTTTTTAGGATTTTGAATATGGTTTCCTTCCTTTGAACTTTCTTTTGCAGCTTATTCCATGTGGCAGTGGACAATACTGAGACTGCGAAGACGATAGCCAAACATTTGAATGAAGCCAAAGCTGGAAGAGTCACATTAAGGCTGTTGGATCAGGCTCGCACAACTTGTAATGTCGATGATAGAGAACGTGAAGCATCGCACATGACTCCCCTTTTAAAACTTCTAAAGTGTTCCCCCCTTCACGAGAAGGCACTTTCTCCGGTTAGCAATTTTTTTCCTCCTTAACTTTGTTGTTACTAAGTTTAGTCTTCATCCGTTATAGGCTATCAATTTAGCAAAGGAATTATGAGTTAGATATGAAAATAAAGGGGAAGTCAACTGGTCAAATAAATAAGGTCAAACAGGTCAAGGCTTGGGTTAGGGGTCTTTTAGTCATTTTACTTGTTAGTTTAGTATAAATAAGAGGTAAGGAGGAGGAGGAGTTGAG